GGGATTCCTCGTCATCATCATCCATTTTTGCATCCTGATCCTCCAAAGCCGGCTCTTGGTTCCCCAGAGCTTCGGAAAGTCCCGGGTCATCTTTCCCAAAAGTCGTTCGGCCTTGGAGAGGAAATTGCGTATCACTCGGTTTGTTGATCTTGATTACCCGCAGGATTGATGCAGTACCATTGGATTCATTTTCAATAAGATCCTTTGTAGGTACAACCATGAATTCTTTTCTCCACATGAATTCGGGGTGAATGGCATAGCCAAGGAATAAACCAGGGCTCGATGTTGGGTCGAAACGAAGTCCATCCTTGTTCTTCTTTCTTGGTCCATTCCAATAGTCGACAAGACAACCAAAAGGAATGAGGGGACCGTCAAATCTCGATCCAAAACGTAATTCCCATGGTGATTTGTCTCCCCCCGTTGCAATGACATTCTGCATGAAACACCAATGTCGGGCAGCATGTGGCCAGTGCCAATGATTCAGACCTGCTTGGAGCAGATTGACACGAGTGCCTTCAAGAACTGACCGGACCGCTCTCTCGGCTTGGGCGTTGGACTTGGATATGTAGTCCCTACTTAAAACATGACGGCACTGAAGGATCTTCATTGCTGAGATCAACTCGGGTGCATTGTCACTGTAGAAAACTCCTATCTTATCTTCATGTCCAACAAAATGTTTGATTGCCAAGATAGCAGCATTGGTGGTTCGTCTAGCATTGGGGTAGACATACATAAATCCTGTTGCTATGTCTTTTACCACGAGTGCACTTTTCTCTTCATCAATTCCCAACTCATCTTCATCTCTGGTGACAATAAAATCAGCGGTGATGTGGTCACCAAATTTCTCAGCTTTAACTTTGGTTGATCCGCCTACAGCTCTTGAGGGTGGCTTGAACATCTTAGCTCTGGTACATATGTCGCAAAAGGGGTTCTTAGGGATGTGAGTCAGCATATGTCGGATAGACTTAGCTTCTTCTTTCAATTCCTTTTCCCCAAGTGACCTTTTGTGAGCACCATCATCATGGACGTTACTACTGCTACCCTTGGATCCTTCCACGGGCGGCTCAACCTCCCGGTCGGCATCAGGAACATCAACCTCCTCAGCCTCCAATGGCTGGGGCTCCGGTAAATCAACATTGATACCCATGGGGTCATCACCAATGATTTCAATGTCCCCATCGGGCTCCGGAGATTGTTGAGCTTCATCTGATGCCGGGGTGGCAATACTTGGTCTAGGCTGAGTTGATGGAGTGGAAATCGTCTTTGAATTATTTGCAAAGTAGGGTACGTAATCTCTGACAACTAACTCAATGCGTTCCCCATTTGGTTTGACCATGTAAGGAGGTTCACCTTTGGAGCCTCTCCATATGAAGTCGTAACCATCATCAATGCATCTCATCCCGACTGAAATGACAGGAGGTGAGCTTCGAACAAGATATGGGTCAATGGTCTTGCCTAACTTCGGAACAAATACTTTACCTTGTTTTGACGACGAACTTTCACCATTGGCAGTAATCATGCGAATGGGATTGTCGGAGTAGTATCCATAGTCATCTGGCAATTCGCTATCATTGACAAGATCTTGAGCGCTCCCCGTATCTGCAATCCAGTCAAGTTCGAGGTTGATCGCTCCCTTCACGTCTTCTCTACATTCCGCAGGGGTGGCTTTGATTCCCTTTGGGATACATTCATTGCAACCAAAATCTGTGTCACATAAATAGGCACATTTGCATTCTATTCCCCGAAGACAATTGGAAACAGATCCTGCCAACATGGTACCGGTCAAAGCGGCATCATTCACAGCAAGTTGATCAACTTCAAACTGATGTCCCCATGGAAAGGTAACCTTATCCCTGGTGACTGCGTTTCCAATTGGCCTCAAGTTCCCTCGGACTTTAACATGAGATACGTCCGGTGAATCATCAAAACGAATCGATGGACAAAATACTCTTGGTTGAGGGATACAAAATGCCTGAGACACGGATGCAAGCATGGATGCAACGAGACAAACTGCGGCAGGAGACGGCTTAGATGAACTGGCCCCGGATCCTTTAGACTTCGGGGATTTCGGGCTCTTGGGGCTCTTAGAGCGGCTAGAGCTTCGGGATCCCTTCCTTTTCGGGTTCTTGGGATTCTTCTTTTTATTTTTGTTTTCGCTACTGGCCGAACGGGCAGGAGTAGCTTGTCTTGGTTTTCCCACTGAACCCTCATGAAGGAATTTGCAATCAGCTCCTCTATCGCAACGTCCCTGTTTCCAAAATTTGCAAATCTTCTTACCTTTCCCCTTTGGTCTGGGAGAACCAGAACGTTCATTTGAGCGACCTCTGGTTTTGCTGGGTTTGCGACTTCTATCACGTGGCTTGGGGACTTCATGCTTGTAAGTACAGTTGTCCTTGCTACAGCCTCCCTTATTCCATGCCACACAATACCCCTTGGGAATGAATCCTGTCTTGCCCTCGACTGCGGGAGCGGAGGGACGACCGGAACCCGAAAGACCTTTGGCAACTCGATCACGATTTGCCTCCAACCTCTCGCGGTCAAGGTGGCGTCGCACGGCAGAAACAAGAAAACTGTAGTTCCGTTTTTCGGTTCCTTCATCAGCTCTATGATACTCATTCATGTCATGTTGGATGGCCTTACAATTCTTCACTTGTTTGTAGAAGAGTGTCTCCAATACACTTACTTCGGGAGTCTGGACGATACCAGCCAACACTTGATCCCAGTTTGAAATGAAAGACTTCAAATTCTCCCCGCGCAATTGGACACTGAACAAATCTTGAAGGGCATAGGTTGCTCCGTGCTTGATGTTGGTACTAAAGTGGTCATGCAACATGAACAACACTTGTCTCCCTCTTACAATCCGTCCAGCGGTGGCTTCAGTCTCCTTGAAGGTATCTACCTTGCGGGTGAAGTCACCAGTGATAATGTTGGTGAGTGCAGAAAGTAACTTTGCATCAAGTGTCGCAAACGGCGCGACCTTCCGGAGCGCTTCAAGAGTCTGATCTTCTTTCCAAGAATCACTAACCCACTTGAAAGCACTGTCGGGATCGGTTGATGCTGCTACAACTGCTTCTCTGGTCTTAATTCTCCAATTGCGATAGGTTTCTGCCAATGGGAATGCTGGGATCTTGATGGTGTCAGCTTCCTTGACCTTGGGTTTGTCATCATGCCTTGGATCGATGTAGCCACCTAGAAACTTGATCATTCTTCGCCTGAACTTCTCATCATCATCATCGGGATCATCATCACCGTCATCACCGCCGTCAGGAGGATTGGGACCAGCCCTACCTTTTCTGGGTGCCTTACGGTTCCTATCCCCTTCAGGTTTATCAATAGGATCAGGTGGTGATGGTGGTCCACCTCCCCCGTTCCCTCCGTTGCCATCTCCTCCATCCCCTGGATCGTCCCCATCAGGCGCATCATCGCCCCCCGGCTCGAAGTGCTCCATTTCATCTGGGCCTAGTTCGGTCGGGGCATATTGATTGGTCGGCGCAGGGGAATTAACATTATCCATGGGATGATTATCTCGGCGACGATTATTGGCCTCTCCTCCCGAAGGGCGTTCCTCAACGGAAGACCTTGCAACATCCGACTCCTTCTTCACTTGGACTGGGACTCGATATGATGGGTCATGATAAATGATTTCAATACCATCCTTTTCATAAGTCTTGGCATCAGGTGAAGTAAAGTTGATCGGCGTTCTTGCAATTGGAGGTCGGGCTACATTGGTCGGAGGTGCTGCGGGTGCAGCCTTGCGGGTCGGTGGAACAAATTCGAAATTTGGGATCTCCGTTGATTCATGGGTTCCGGCTGTCATAGTCATGGCGGCAGTTTCGATAATAGGACTTGGACGAACCTGAGCAAATTGGGAATCGAGCATACTTTGCAGTTTCAGATTGTGCTGCATCTGTACTTGTACCATGTGTTCAAGCTGTGTAATGCGCTCATTCTGAACCCTTCTCTCTTCCTCAGCTGCTCTTCTCAATTCAAGGATCTCTTGCTCCTTACTTGATAGTGATTGACGATGGTTAGCATCAATGACACGTTGGTAGGCCTGAATTTTCTCATTCATTTGAGCTTCTCGGAACCTTACATGTTCGTGCGCCTCATGCTGTAAATTCTCCCTATACTGTGCTCCCATTCTCAATACTTCTTGTTCTTTGGACATCATTGCATCTAAGGCCCTCTGACTTTCAATGCCCTCACGGACTCGCAATGCTTCCACCAATTCCTCAGTCTTTGCCGTGTGGACGGCCTCAGCGTGAGCTTCGGCCTGGGCCAATACTTCACGATGACGGAGTTCGGCCGTTGTTTCCACAAGGCTTGTCACAGCAGGATCATGTGCATGAAGGTGCAAATTCTGCTCGACAAAATTCACTTGAGGATTGTCAACATGAACATTGTGTTGGAACGTATTATGGACATTCATCTGGTTCAATTGGCGAGTCGGTGGCCCACCCTCCCGAGCGGCTTGGGGGACAAAACCACGGTGACTGAATCCAATATGAGAAGGCACAACTGCGTTACTCAAATATGGAAAGTGGCGTCGTTCCCTTAAGCTTCGAGACTTATCGGATCCAGGTGGGGTGCTGATGTCGACTGAGAATGGCGAGTTACTGATTGTTAGTGTCCCCGGGTTAGCCATGGCAACGTCAGAGGAATCTACGCGCCCGGTGCCCTCGGTGGAAGAACCCGAGGGGGCAGACATTCTACCAAAGGAGAAGTTAGCTTACGGCTGATAACCTGTTTTACAGGTTAAACAACCCGAAATGCACAACAAGTAGACGCTTGTTTCTTGAGCCATAAGCACGATAGTAAAGAAGGTGAAATGTATGTACATGAGGTGATACCTATGAAAAACAAAAACAAAGTGCAAGTGCCAACAAGAAGAATCCCATTTTTGGCTGATCCAGGTTTATCTGTTTATCTGTTTCTCCTATTTTCTCCTATCTTTTTCTAAATGTTTGTCCCAAGAATGGCGTCACCAGCACCGTCTGTGCCTCGCAGGCGACAAGCTCTGCCGCCCCAAAGTGCCCCGCTGCCGCGAGTCGGGGCGATCGCCCGGGGCGCGGTGCTCCGGCACACGACGCTCTGCAGCCTTGGGACGGTGACGACGGGGACGACATGGGACGACGGTGAAGAATTCTTGGAATCTTGCCAAGGTGGCATAGGTGGCATAGGTGGCATAGGTGGCATATATCAATCAACATAAGATGTGCATAGATGTGCTCTCTCTACCTTTTCTACACCATCAAAATGTATATGTCGTAATATGTCAATCTGCATTTAATGTTTTGTTTTTGACAGATTCCGAACTCATATTCTTTAGCACTAAAAAGTGACTAAAAAGTGGATTCAGGATGCCGGAACTGGCTTAAATCACTTTAAATCCATCTTAAATCCATCTTAAATCCATCAAAGATCTCGCCCGAGGTCTGCCCCGGAGGTCTGCCCCGGAGGTCCGCACGACGGGCGCTGCCACTTCCACCACTGGAGGTGGCGCCACCAGCTGCAGCTTGGGAGCACGAGGTCGCGGCCTGATCCGTGACGGTGAAGAGTTTGGTCTTGAGAAAATGGAATGAGAAAATGGCGAAAAACATGGAGAACATCACCTGGCGGAATGAAAATCCATCACCAAATCAGATTCGAATGCAAGAATTGGTGAGAGCTCCACTAGAAAACTCATAGAATGTTAGTCCGCGTTTGTCCAACGGAAAGGAAAACCACTTGCAAAACATCCAGGATGCCAAGTTTTTCATAACAGAAAACCATAACTTGACCCGCCGCCTGATGGATGCCATCATCATAGCTTCGGCCTGAGCCAGACTTCTAGAGCAAGCCTCAGAAATCCACGGCACTTGGCCAATGTGTAGATGGACAGATTCCAGGGAAAACTTCAGAAAGTGGTGAATATCTCCCATCAGAACAGGAGTATATGTGTTTTTTCATGATGTGCCCACGAAAGGGGGGGACATTCAGCTTTGTCTTGGGATTTCGTCAAAACAGGGGATTGATTGAAAGTGGAGATCTGTCAATCAAAAGCTGGATTACTCCAACTAAAATTGGAGATGCAAGCAACAATAAGCAACACTACAGGATGGATGTTAGTGCTAAACATACCATGTGAAATGCAAATCCAAATCGGCAGGTGCCAGATGACAAAGCTGTGCCAAGGCACCGCCGCTGCTTTGTCTCTCTCTAATGACCTCAGCAAGTCTCTAATGACTCAACTGCAACGCCTAAAGCCCAAACCGGAGACTTGGCACTGGTTGGGTCAACCTGGTTGGCAACGGCAGTCAGACGCTGCAGTCAGAACGGCCGTTTTTGCAGCTCTGCAATATGCAAGCTGATGGTCCGCCCCTGAAAAATTGACATTGGCAATGGTCAGAATGGTCAGAGGTCAGATGACAAACGTGAAACGAATATCAAGAGATCCTCTGGGCAGGAGAAAAGCCGAGGCAACTGACATCTTTGCAGGATCATTTATGTATATTTATGTTTTTTTCCCGGGGTACATGATCTACACATTTTGCGGGTTTCACTTTCACATATTATCGGTGAAAAGATGTACTATATAGAAACTTGCGATCATATCACTTCCATTCAAGTAGGTTCTCGTACTGCCGGCTTTCCTCCTGAAACAATTCAAACTGTGCTTCCTCTGTAAGCGGTGCCAATCAGGCCAATTGTGGGGCAATAGACTGCATGGAGGTCTCACAGAGTGTCTCTTTGTACAACCATGTCGAAACAAATCTGCCTCAAGATACAAACTGGGAGTGAGATGCACTGGGTCTATCCTCAATAGAGTGCTTACTGTCAGATATTCTTCTTGACTTTGGAGATCTCGTCCATGTGTCAAAGTGGTACCATAAACAGTAAACCACACTGTTTCAAACATTCTTCGCAAGGCGCGAATCTTCCTTGACAACTGGAACGCCACTGCTGGCATTTGCAACAGAATTGCTACCTAAAAGAGTAGCGTCACGTTCCTGGTTCAAATCACTTCCTGCTGCCGAACGGGGCTCACCGATGCTGGCAGCTGAAAGGTCACTCTGAGCACCTTCCGATTGGTCGGAATGGTCACTCTCGCCGCCTCCGGTCGCAGTGGAAATGTCACTGAAGATTAAAATCGCGTCATTCTCGCTGTCATCGGACTCACTCATGAACCCGCCACCTTCGGGGTAGTGTTCGAACACACCACCTCTGAGATTCATATTCTCACCATAGCCTCTCGCATTGACAGCTGGAGCATTGACGCGGTTTGCCACCAATGGTGCCTGCATCTCAAGAAGGCCATAATTGTCTGAGAGCCTCCTCGACGGAATGTCCAAGCCCAGGACGTGAACCATCCTCAAACTCGACATCGTTAACGCCCACGGGGCCCTGAAATCGAGAGACGAGCAATCTGATCCACTCCTAAGTCTAAGTCCCGCCAGATTCTGTTAGTGTGAAGCCGAAAGTTGCGAAAGAGGGTATCTAACTAGAACCACGGCAACTGTTCAAGCCTTCAACTGTTGTTGCCCAACACATCCCATGTTTTTGTTGATAGAATTGTCCATTCATAATCTATAATGTTCTATAATTTAGAATCTAAAACTTGTTGAGATACATTGAGATACCCCTTTGATACCCTTTTTTTGCAAGCTCGATTAAGTCTGCTCAACCGCCACGATGAATGAGGCATTCTGAGGCAAAGGCGGTTCTCTGGGAATGGACAGGGTCACCTCTGCACCGCCTTGTGCCTGGCAGTTCCACAAGAGTGGCTCAAAACAACTGGAACAACTGGAACACCACCCATTCGACTTCAAATCCTGATAAACCTGATAGAAAACCTGATATAGAAAACCTGATAGAATCCTTAAGATCTACTTGAATGGTGCCGTAGTGGCACTGTCTGAGGCCTCAGATGGGGCTTCCACCCAGGGGTTCCAACGTTGGTTCCAACGTTGGTTCCATGGTCCGCTGCGGCACCTGCGCAGTCGCAGCACCACCCGGAGACGGAACCGCAGCCGCTCTTTGGGGATCCGCCTCGGCCTCGGACTCCGAAATTTCGAAGTTTTGAAACTGCAAAAAGTGGTGAAAAAAGTGGTGAAATCCACACGACAAAATATGACAAAATACGCCACTTTTGCGTGTCAATATGTGTCAATGGGATGGCCTGGCCATGCTTTTGGCTCTCACTTGACTCGCGCACCTCACAGAAAAAAAAAGTGGCCGGGGTTGACTCTCGTCTTTTTCACAGGCCATATTTTCCAACGTTGGTGCATTTCCAAAATATGAGAACACCATAGAACACCTATATCTCCAAAAACGTTCCATTTGATGCTGCCAATTCGACTTCGTGTTCATAGCTCCCAAAAACTCTAAATTCATGTCTCTAACGGTTGGACCTTAAGGATCAACCCCAGTACATGGTGGTTTATTTTGAAGGGTCAACCGTTGTCAACCCCTTCAAAACCCCACAGCGCCTCGGTCTGCGATTCTCTCAACGTCCGCGACACCGACGCTGACGCGGACTCGATGTCGTTGGGTCGGGATCGGCGTGGCGTCCCAGGCACACCTGCATCGATCCAACGAGTTCAGATCAAAAACTGGCTCTGAAAGAAATCTGTCAACTGGCTCGAATGGGAGAGGATGGTTGGATTCACCAGCTAAGCTCATTATTGGTCATTTTTATATATTCTTGTTACTTGCTTTTCATACAACCATCTCATGATTTGCCAACATGGGTTGATCAGCTGGGCTGCACTTGGGCTCCCAGACCCAAGGGTCTACCGCGCTCGGTGGATTCCGACCTGGTGAATCAGCTATGAATCAATGGATCAATGGATTAATGGATCAGTATGAGTGTCCTGAACAGCATTTGGGGACAGCTATCATAGTTTCTTGGAGGGCAAGAGTGGAAAGAAGTCTTAGTTTGACCGCTTAAACTCAAGGAACATTTAACAAGGGCACAGTCATTGACATTTTTAACTCACTTCAATGGGAATCTAACTTGGCATTGAAGTTTTCCATGGCCATTGCCATCGATGACCTGTTTTTCATCATGCAACCAACAGGCTCAACAACCAACAGCCACCTGCAGCCACCTGCAGCCACCTGCAGCCACCTGCAGCCACCTGGCCTCTGGGTCCGTTCCAAACGTGCAGCCGCCAAAGCTGCCTCGTTGAGCTAAAGACGCCCACTTAAAACGATCAAGTCTCCAAAAAGTCCCCAAAAAGTCTCCAAAAAGTCTCCAAAAACCTCAAAGTTTGATGATTTCATACAACATCTTGGCAAAATCAACTCATGTCTTAGCAACATGTGAAGTCTATGGATATAAAATCGAGAATCGACTCCTTGTTACCTCCCACATCATGGATGGTGAGGAAGAGCACAGAGTGAGTATGGACGCGATCAGCATGTTTCCAACTGAAGTTTAAAAAGTTAGTTTTTGAGGGGAAAAGGTTAGTTTCGAAACCCGGGTTTTGGCTAGCTTGGAGGGGGGGGCGGGAGAAACAAACTAACTCTGAGGAAAAAGGTTTGTTTCTGGGGGAAAAACAAAGGTTTTGCGGGGGTGGGGAAACGTTAGTTTCTGGCTCCGGAAACAAAGGTTTGGGCTAGGGAAAGGTTTGTTTCCGGGAGGGAAAAGAAACGTTTACAGGAGAGGTTACGGAACCATAGGGAAACTAAGGTTTCAAAACTAACGTTTCGAGGGCGAGAAACAAAGGTTTCCAAGCCGGAGAAAATGAGTTTGTAAGTTTCCGCTTGCTCCCCGGAGCAGCAGCAGCACCAGGAGAGGTGGCAGCGGCAGCAGCAGGCAGCGGGCGCAGCAGGAGCCGCAGGGCCGCAGTAGCATTAGCAGCAGCCGCAGCAACAGCAAGAGCAGTCGCAGCAGGAAGACGCAGTAAAAGAAGAGCAGAAGAAGAAACGGGAGAAGAAAACTCAGAAGGGAGAAGAAGAAGAAGAAGAAGACGAAGAAAAAGAAGAAGAAAAGGAAGCCGAAGAAAAGGAAGACGAAGAAGAGCAAGAACAACTGCAGGAGAAAAACTAGAATACTGCAGCGGGCGCCTTCTGTTTGGCGACGGCCCTACGTAGCAGGCAGCGGCATGTACGCGGCATTTTCTCGCATCGGAGACAATCGACAAGGACTGCAGACAACAATGAACAGCGAAGAGTAACATCAGGAACCTCGACGTGAAGCAGTTGCCACAGCATGGCGAGGCCGAGATGAAGGGCAGCCCGAAAGGTTAGTTTCATTGCTTTCAAACTAACGTTTCGAGACATAAGTTTTTTCAGACGAAAAAGGTTTGTTCGAAACAAAAGTTTTCCGTGTCCGTGAAAAACAAACGTTTCAGCTTGGCAGTCTGGCAGTTTGTTATTCCAACCCAAAACAAACGTTTTGTAGAATAGTTTGTTTCCGTACCTAAAACAAACGTTTCTGAAACAAACGTTTTCGCAAAAACAAACAAACAAACTAGTCGAAAAAAGGTTTGTTTTTGAGCGTTTCAAACTAGTTCCGACGGAGTTTGTTTTGAGTTTCCAATTTCAAACTAACGTTTCCAAAAAAGGTTTGTTTCGAGCCCTGAAACTAACGTTTTCGCAAGGGAATCGTTAGTTTTTGGAGGAAACATTTGTTTTCTCTTTCCGCTGCTTCCAGTCCCAAGCTTGGACAACACCAAAACATTAGTTTCCGCCTGGACAACAAACCTTTTCTGCCGTCTAGAAATATTTGCTTCAACCAGGAAATAAACATAGAAAACTAACCTTTCTCCTGTCGAAAGGTTTGTTTCCATCCCAAAACAGACTCCTGATTGCATCCCTACTGCGCAGAGTCCATCGATTCTCAACCGACAAACACGGCCTCTGCATCGAAATAGGGCACTTCAATTTCATCCTCCTGAAATTCATGGCACGGGTGGACACACAAACTTGGAATGAAGCTACCAAGCTTTCCATTGTTGCTGCTGAAATCCTCTGCTTTAGCCAAAAAAATACTAATCCCTCAAAATCCAGCGCTTTAAAAAGTAATGTCTCCAGCACTGAATAGCTATGATCAGGGGAACCCTCCATCCATTCTTAGACACCCCAAATACTCTGGGTAAATCATCCATATTTGCTGCTTAAGTCCCCATGATTGATGGTCAGATCACCGTTCTCGTTGGTAAAGCCCATCCATTTTTGGGCCATCCGAAATCAAATCACACGCTCCAACCCACACATTGGTGAAAGATCTCCATATTCGCATGGTTTGAATTTTGAGTATTGATTGATATCACGGATATCCCCATTACTGTATCTTCGTTGAAGTTCCATTCAGTGTGGCAATAAATAGGGACAAATGGGGACACATGGAGATAAATTAGACAAATTAGATAAATTAGATAAATTAGATAAATGGAAATCATTTAGGACTTTTCTTTTATAACTTTCTAAAAAAAAACATGGAACGATTTAGAATTTAGAACAGCGAAAAACTCGTCTCCTGGATCAGCACATGCGTTCGCTTCGACCGCTCGCGGCTGCGCGCCATCTCCGCTGAGGCCGGTCGCTCCAAGGAGCGGCCACGGGTGCCACGGGTGCCGGGGATGTGCAACGGTACCTCGGTCATCCTGTACCACGGATACCACGGGTGCCAGGAAACTCGTCATGTTTCGTCAATGAAAACATATGAAAACAATAGGCCAGTATGTGACACAGTATGTGACACAGTATGTGGCTATAGGTCAGTTTCGTTAATATGTTGATATATGTTGATATAACTCAAGACCTATAGCATCCATGCTTCCAAATGTGAATGATGATAGTCGATGGTAATCCATGATCACCAAATCCTGAGAATATCCCCCAACCGGAACAGGCGCACAACAAATGTAACTCTTCCCATATACACTGGGATGATCATTGAAAATATTGAAATACCCAAGGCGCAAAAAAAAAATGCTCAGTGGCCTTCATTTATGAACTCTCTGGATCACCCCACAAACTCCGTCCTGACGACATCCTCGCAGTGCGGCCACAAAGATCCTGCCGAACAAAAGTGGGAGAAATCTGATGGGTTTTTGTTGGGTGAAAAAATATTGCTTTTCTAGGCTGGGAACCATCTCCGGTCATCAGTTGTGGCCACATGTCTGATCCAAAAATTGGATGATTTAAGCATGGAAAAATATGGAAAAATTGGATGTGCAATCAGCCGCTCCCCATCCCCTCGCTCTGGGTTTCTGCACTTTCAGGTCTGGGCAGACTTGGCAGCTCGGCGCGGGAACCTATGAGGGTAGGGAAAACTGAGCGATTGGAAAGGTGGAGATATCTTTACATTTTCCTACTGCGTTTTCCAATTTTTGGTTCACTAACTCGTTATATCTGTATGGGCGGCCCATACAGTATGGGGTTCTTACTTTGTTGAAAAGGCTGCATGCGTGCGCCATGATTTTGTTTCTGCCTCCGTGTTTGCTTTCCTGGGCACATGCTCGTCTCTCAGTATGCTCTCCCAGTATGCTGCGGATGCTCTGCGCCGCATGACACTTGTCTCCCACTGTTTCCCAGTCCGGCGTAAGCTTGGGCCGCATGGTTTTACACTTGTTTCCGGTTTGTCTCCGAATGCCCTGTGGAATTTTGCGTTTGTGTTCCACCTGTCTCCCACTTTTCTCTCGTTTGTCTCCCATTTGTCTCTCGCCTGTGTCCCTTAAGTTTTTCGCCTGGCTCCTACTTGTCTCCAACTTTGCTGTGGGTGCCTTGGGCACTTCTCTCCCGCTTGTCTCCCAACACTCTGCGCGCGCGCCTTGGGCCGCATGATTTCCCAAACGGAGTCAGTTGAAAAGGCGCACATCATTGAGGCGGAAGAATTCGCCTTGCTTTCCACTGGTTTTTTGTCCTTGTCTGCGGCGGAATTATTTGTTTCCTACTTATCTCTCACTTCTCTTTTGCTTCTGGCTGTCCCCGGCGCGGCAAAAACTACTTTCTTACCACTTATCTCCCACTTGTCCCACCTTTCCCATCTTTCCCTTCCCACCTTTTGTCTCTGTGCTGATTTTTCTAGTCGCCAGCGAAACGTGACAGGGGGGGCGGATGATGATTGGTGTCAGGGCAGATGACTATTGATGTCCACAAGTTTAACGAAATCTATCCACCAAAATCACAAGAAACATATAGATCCATCAACTTCAACCAACAACTGGCTGGTGTTTTCACTCCCCTGAAAGTCATGGGGGATCATCATCAACATCATCGTCATCATCATCACCATCATCATCCCTCATCCCACTAAATAGGGATTATCGAGAAAATACGCCTGAAACTGCCCAGCAAACATAATTTGATCTATGCAGCAACTGCAGCCACCAATTTCGGACCCGCCTCGCACCAATTGTCCTGGGAGCCGTGCCCTGCACAGCCAAAAATTGCGCTTTGCGGCGGGAAACTCAAAGTGCTTCTTCATTCCAACGATTTCGATTTATAGTTTGTGTTTGTTGTTGTTGTTGTTGTTGTTGTCGGATGTATGATATATGATATGTTGTTGGAATCCCTGCGAGGTTTCCTGCAGAACCAATGAGAAACATCAAAATAGCCAGCGCCTGGTCATCCCAGTCATCCCACCGTGAAACGAAGGATGAAGTGCCCCTCTGAAAATGGACGTGTAGCATCCCCCTACTATGGATTGATGACCTATCTTTTGATCTTGGTACAGACTTTGAGCATGGTCATGCCATTGTTATGAAATCTTATTACATTACATATCTTGGCCATGGACAAAAACTGACGAGGGTGGGATGTGAGCATGCCCTGAGATGGAAAATGTTACCAGCAGTTTTCACATGTTCCAGATGCGTCAACCCTGGCACGAGTGGCGCAATGGGTTTGTCAATAGATTTTACCCCTACATGTTGGGGATGGTTTCAAGATGGGAATGACCTGGCATGCTACAACTGATTGGTGGTTCGGCATACGGCCAGTGGTTGTAAGTAGGCACATCTGTACAAAACGGCCAGTGGTTGTAAGACGGCACTTGTGCACAAAAAGGCCACTGGTTGTAGGAAGGCACTTATGCACAAAGTGGCCAGTGGCTGCAAGGAAACACTTTAGCACAAAACGGCCAGGGGATGTAAGAAGGCACTTCTGCACAAAGTGGCCAGTGGTTGTAAGACGGCACTTCTGCACAAACCGACCCATGGATGCAAGCAGGCACTTCTGCACAAAACGGCCAGAGGTTGTAAGACGGCACTTGTGCACAAAAAGGCCGGTGGTTGTAAAAAAAATACGTTCATACGAAACGGCCAGTGGTTGTAAGAAAATACGTTTGCACAAAACGGCCAGCGGTTGTAAGAAGGCACTTGCGCACAAAACTGCCAGTGGTTGTAAGAAGGCACGTTTGCACAAAACAGCCAAAGCAGAATTTGTCCTGTAATTCCGGAGACTCATATTAAAGAGCTGCAAATGATGGAAATACGATGAAAAAAGGTATGATGGAAATACGTCATTGTAGCTGGGTCTTTGCTGTGTTTCACAGCACTTTGCCACTCCAAAGTGACATAAGACTCTTAAGGCAGCATCAAGCTATCACTGATCCAAACATCTCCCATCAAAACGCAACAATTGAAAGCCGTTTAAAATTATTAAACTACTTTAAGACTTTCAGATCCCTTATAGATTTGTCGTAGATCCCTCATACATTTGTCATAGTTTCAACAGTTTCGTCAGACCTGCAGCTGAAAACCCCCCATCCCGGGCCATGGCTCGGCCTGTAGAGGGGCACATGGCCATGGCTCGGCGCCAGCACTGCCACCACTTCGCCACTGAAGACTTTGCCCGTCTTCAGCGCCAGTGGTTCCAGAGCTGCCTCCAGGGTGTCCAGCATAGCTCCTGCCAACAAAAAAACGGTTCTATCTGGTTCATAAATGTTATAAGTTACAATAATTAGTTATAATCATGTTAATCATCATGTTAATAATTTCAATAATGTTTTTACTGCGTAATATGTTTATAAGCCAGCTATAAATGGGATAAATCGACGACCACAAGACATGATGCAAAATGTTACAAGTTGTATATCTAAGTATATCTACGTTGTGAGCATTATAAGGCAGTTTGAGTACTGGGATCTACCCCTGGTATACAAGGATTATCAATCGCTTCCGAGTACGGAATTTCCGAGACCGAATGGCATCTTATCCACGTATCTATCCATCAGTTCAATCAGTTCCCCATCTTTCCACCCAAGCTACCTGACCTACCTGACCTACATGCATAGCTATCTACATATACTTACGTGTGAAATAAGAGAAACGAGCTTCGGGCAGCAGTCCTGTTTCTTGAGCCAAAGCGACAAGTAAGACAACAAATTGAGTTGTCAAGTGACCTGCAAACTGGATTCCCGGCTTAAACCCTTTAGGTAAGCTCATGCATTTAGGAATTCCAGTCAAACTTCGGATGTTTGTGAAACCAACTACGGGACCCTATCCTGGTGAGCCATGTGCTACTACCAGGTGCATAAGTGAAGTCATATTTGGGCATCCATTTTGGGATTGTTTCGGGCATCCATTTTGGGATTGTTTCACCCGCATCCATTCTTCTCCCCCTTCGCATGTTCTAGAGAGGTCTCTGGGATAGGTGTCTCCAGAGATGGATGCTTGGGTTTGATGCCTAGTAGGTGCAGTGCATGTGGCCATTTGCCAACCGCCAAAGGTTTTGTGAAAGGATCAGCTCGCTGCGACGTAGTCTTAATGTACATCCACTTTGCAATTCCACTGGAAAATACTTCATACAAAGATCCCAGATTGATGCGGTGATGTTTACTGACATGACGCAGTTTCGGACTGTAACCCTGATTGCAAATCGCAATAACGGCTGTATTGTCTTGCATGCAACGCATTTCAACTTCCCTACCATATACCTTCTCAATAAATTCAAGAGTCGGCAGAGCATCAAATACTCCCGATGCTAATGAAATCACCTCGGCCTCTGTAGTCGATCTGCTTGTTGCTCCCTGGCGCTTGCTGCTCCAGCTCAAAGGCCAAAAGGAGTTTGGTCCTTCCAAACACAACAGGCTTCCCGACGACGATTTCGCATCTTCAACTGCAGATGCATGGTCGGCATCTGTATACAAGACCAATTTGAGGTCTTGTTGCCTATCTGCAATCTTTCCACGAAGTTTGAAATCTTTGGTCGTCCACAGATAACTCATGAGTCTGTACAAACGTTTGTCGTCTGCAGTGCTCCAGCATGTTACGCGACGAGTTAAATCTGCAATTGCCTTTTGAATGTCCGGTCGGCAGAGCCGGGCACACCAGAGAATTTTCATAAGGACTCGGCTGGCTGTTCCAGATAATTCCCCACGGGACTCCCATTCTGTCAATGGCAAACTTCCTTCAGGAAGATACGGAGAGCTTGCTTCTTTCAAGGGCTTTCCGGCCAATTCAACATAGAAATCACATGAAGATTGGATGAAGTCTACCATGTCAAACTCTACCTCAGTTGAATCTTCATTATGATGGAAAACGTGTTTTCTACCCAGACATCGGTCTACTTCAGTTGGTGGTTCGATTTCCAAATGACTGGATAAAGTCTTCCAAAATTCTGCATGAAGATGTGAGGGGCCACTAAGCAAAACATCATCTACATATAGAGTGAGTAACAAACCATATCCGAATGTCCAATTTGATTGGTTATCTTGGTCTGGGCTACCACCCATGATTTGCATCACCTCCCGGAATCTGGCATCCCAGTGAAAGCCGCTTTCTGGATGCCCGTACAAGGCTTTGTCCAGAGGTGCAACTGGATCCTTTATGTGCGAGTACTCCTTCGGAACTAATTCAGGTGGCAGCAAAACCCATGTGGGCACCTTGGTTTTTAACAGGCTCTGTGTATATGCACGCACAACATCACTTTGGGTGCTTTTGTTCCCTTTTAGGGCACCATAGCTGAGGTTGAAGTTTATTGCGGTTATTCCAGATGGATTGACCTTAAGTTCTTGAAGAATCGCTATGTTGTTGGACTCATCAACTATTTGGTCTCCCCTGAAAACGACCCTTGCCTTCAACTTTCTCAATGTTAGACTTTCTGCGTGCTTGACACTGAGTATTGTCATGAGCCTTCCCAAGTTATATTGCTTTCCTGATTTCAAAAGTTCTTCTTTTGGGATTATTTTATCGCACAACCAGACCTCATTAGCAACTAAGCCATCCCTTTCTTTGGCAATAGCTTCATAGGCTCCCGGATGTTTGCTCCAGTCTCTTCGGTCGATGACTTGGTGCACTCCTACAGGGACAGATCTTGGCACATGTTCGGACTGTACAAAGGGAACCGTTGGCATGCATGGAACGCTGGCATCTGGATAAAGGCTATTCGAAATCACTTGGGCCATCTTTTCTGTGTAGAAGGCTGATCGTGAAGTCTCTGACCCTTCCAAAGGACTATGTTTAAACCCTTGTGGATGCTTACATTGGTAGCCTCCAAGATTAACTGCCAATTTCATGGATGTTGTTACTACTCTCCATGTCTTTTTATGTGGTTCCCCATTCTTGTCAACCAATCCTAGTGCACATCCATTGCAACAAGTTTCGTACATGTTGTGGCGTTTGATGAACCTCAGCAACGCTGGCAACGCCCAGCCTTCACTTTGCTTCGGCCATTCAAAACTAACATGACCCCCGTTCGCAATGACATTTTCTGCCACAAGAAGGAAATGCTCCAACAGCTTTTTGCTTGTTTTTCTTTTCTTGGCCAATTTGATCTTGTACTTTTTGCCATACCTATGCAAGTTCATCTTTTGCCATGGTGACCATGGTCCGCAGGGTATACTTGCCCAAAGGTCTGCCCCCTTGAACTTATTGGTCTGGTTCAAAAGGCTCGCAATTTGTTGAGGATCTTCAAGGTCAGTTACGTCACGACTAAGTCTGAAATGCTCAAACCCCCTTGATTGGTTAACCTTTCCCAATGTAGAGTCTTTGCTGCAGCAGAACTCGAACATCACCGGCTTCTTTCCTGACCGGATCCTGCGTTCTTTTGGCGGGTTCAATGTCCTTTCATTAGCTATAACTGCAGGGACTGGTGATAAACCAAGAATGGATGTGACAGCGTCCAAGCCCCTTGATGGTTCGGTCTGGACGTTACATGTCATAGCCATGATCCTAGCTTTCACATTGGTGGGCTTCTCCAACGGATAAAAGTACGTGACACCTGTCCAACTTTTGGATGAGATCCTACGGTTTGGTGACATTTCTTGCCAATCATCACCAAAGGTAGACGTTTTTCCACGACAAGACCAAATTGTTTCTCTTTTTGAGGACACTTCATTTACTTCGAAAGGACAATCATTGCCAACAGGCGTGAAAAGTCTTTTTCGAGGTCGCACATGAACCCGCTTCCAAGCTCCCTTTTGATCGTCATATGCCCAAGAGTCATTTTCATTTTCGGGTTTTGCCTTGCCCGCACGAGGAGCCAAGTGCTTACTCTCGCGCGGTTCGGCTTCGACGATGGGGATGTTTTTCAACTTGGATTTCACGGCTTCTTTGAGTGCAACATGCATAGAAGTATCAACAATTTCAACAGGCTTTTCTTCCTTTTTGGATTCGGCTTCTTTTGCAATCTTTTCTTCCTCCAACAACCTCCCAATCCTAGCATGACATTCATCAGTATGACGAACACCCTCAGCTATCCTTTCACAACCTTTGCACCCAATAGTTTTCCCAAAGCGGATGCATCGTTCAAGTGTCACATAAGCCTTACGTTTTCTTTTGACGGGGCTTGGTGCATTCTCATCGAACGGAAGTGCGTCCCTTGGCTCGATCTTTGGCAAATCGGCTTCTGCGCGGAACAAGGACAACTGAGCATTGGTGGCTTCTTCAAGTGGAAAAATAAACACTTCAGGCATTACTAGTTCAGAGGCATACGCTTGGATAGGTTTTTCACAACCCTTTTTGTTTGTGCGAACGGCTTCATAGTCCAGCACTAAATGCACTCCCCTAAACTTGTACCCATTGTCAATTCTCCAACCACAGAAGATACCAGGATATGTTCTGGGATCGAAAGCTGGCAACTCACGGTGCTTAGGAGGTTTATACCAAACTAAGGCTCCATACGGAATTTTGTACCCTGTGAATGGTTCCCCTGAAGCAACTTCAAAGCAAGTTTTGCCCTCTTTCAACTTTTTGGCTTCCGGTGTTTCATTTGGGTGCACCGGACATGGAGTGGTGACTGCATGCGCTACACAAAAGTACTCTATGCTACGCGGCCAAAATTCATGTGGAAGTCCTGCTTTCAATTGGACGGCACGAGTGCCTTCTTTGATTCTTCTGATCAGGCTTTCAAGTTTAGCATTATGATATGGATCGTTTTCGATCCCAGGCTCACTTAACCAACCAAGATGCTCGACAGCTTTTGTCAGCTCCTGAGCACAATCGGTTTTGACTGTACACGAGGATCGGGGAGAAGCTTTCGTGCCTGCGAATTTCTGCAATGCTAAGATGTTAGAATCCGTGTCGCGGCTGCTCATGGAGAAGGCTCCAATGCATCCTGAAAACTCATCTAAGCAAATCAAACAAGCTTGCTCTCCACCTGCACCCTTAGTCAAATCCGACCCTAGGATGATGTGATCTGCCCGCATCATATGCCCATAGTGTAACGGAGGTACTTCATCTTCGTCAGGTTCCCCCCTTGACCTATGAACTCGTCCTGTCATTTTTGATCTTTGGCAAACCAGACAATACCTATTTTTGGGAAAGTGGCTCAACTGATGCTTTTCCGATTTGGATTCTTCAATCAGGCGATCCCTTAAAGATGGTGTACATGGATTAGCTTCTTCATCCTCCTCATCAAGGGGCTTATCCGATGGTTCCATACTGGGTTCCTCGCACAACA